ACACACACAGACCACAGACACACACAGACCACACACGCACACACGCTGACACACACAGACCACAGACACACACACACAGACCAGACAGACACACACAGACCAGACAGACACACACAGACCACAGAAACACGCATGCTGACACACACAGACCACAGACACACACACGCTGACACACCACAGACACATTTGTATTCATATCTTTGTGTGGACTCTGGATTCATTTCTATGGGAAAAACCCTATTCCCTGTAAAGACAACCTTAACCCCTACCCAGCCATAACCTTAACCATAAGCAACCAAACAAAATACAAGACTAGTATTGATTGCAGTTACAAATTTTTATAAAGTTTCCCCTTGTGAGGAATGAAAAAATGGTCCACAAAATGTTAAAACAACAGGTTTTTATCACATTGTGGACACACACACACACACATATATAATCTGACAAGAACAATAATGAAAAACTGAAGAGAAACGGGTGTGACGCATCCAGACGGTGCGGGCGGATCGACTCGTGGGGAGATGCCCGCGGCTCCTAAGCAGTCCGTGTTTGTTTCTGTCCTTCATTCCTAAGGGTCACACGCCTTCCCCGTCCCATCGCCGCCCAATCTCCGCGATTATCCCTTCATTCCTGACTTAATCACCATGACCACGCCTGCCAACGCTCTCACTACACAATAAACCTCTTTAGTCTCGGATCCGTCGAGCAGAGCTGATGGCACGGGTCATGGACACCCAGCAGGCGCCAACATGATGGCTGGTGACGAGGGAGGTCTGGGGGGGGGCACGCGGATTGCGGACTCACTGGAAGTTGCTGGGCGTGCCGATGTCGGCCTTGGTCAGCTTCTTTTTCCCTCCTCGGCCCTTCTTCTTCCTCTCCTTGTCCTTTAGGTTGCTATGCACCATGTTGTTGACCTGCATGTTGTTATGGTAACGGGCATTGACGATCTCCGGGTTCTTTATGTCCACCGTGGCCATCGGCAGGTTGGGTCCTGGGAACAAGGCAGGCAGTCAGGGCTCCATCCAACCAGCATGACGGCTCATCTTACAGACCACAGCGAGACAGCAAAGACCAGACGCGACAAAACCAAGACCAACATCTATCCTTGGGACAAGCGGCCCGACACCTGCAAGACTGTTAAACATCAAGCCAAGACTTTTAAAGCATTCTTGGCTCCTCGACAGCTGCAGGTCTGTGATGTTCTACAGACTCACTCTAAGGCAGCACAGACAAAAGCATCCACTAAACAAGTAAATGTAAATGCAGGAATAATGCATTTAACTAATCTCATAATGTCAACGCAGGGCAGGAACACTGGAGTAGAGCTTTCTTGTTTTGCAGGTTATGTTTAATTCAAGGGTAAATTCATTAAGAAGCGGACAGAATCTGGGAGCACTTTCACAAATGGCCCAAGGACTAAGGAACAGAACAGACACACTGAGAACAAAGACGAAAGTGATGGGACTGATGTATCCCACGTACTTCTAATAAAGGTCACCACTCCCTCAAGGTCTTACAGGCAGGAGTATAAAGAGCGCCACCTATCTGCAGAGGTAGCACACCACAATCTGTGTGCCGGATGAAAGCTTAAGGTCCCTATCAAAGGCCTTAATGCCACCACACAAACCCAAAACACACATCCTCTTACCCTGACAGATTACATTGTGAGGTACCTTCCCTGGGGTGCGGACATGGCCCAGTATAGTGACGCGGGGTGGGGGGTTATTTGTAGGTGTTATATACCCATAGGTGACTTTAGGCGTTTCTTCAAGCAGGTGCAAGATGAGAACCCAACCAGTCATTACAATGTAATTTAATATTGTTTAATTTAATATGTTCAAATAGAACTTTCATCTGACTTTCATCCCCCTGCACCTTGGGTAGATGTAAATACCCCGGAGAGCCTAAACAGGGCTGCCAGTGTTACAGAACAGAAAGTAAAGGGTATTTAAAATGATAAAAGAGTTCCTCTATTAGAAAAAGAAATAGCTGGGTAAGAAAACGCAGTAAAGGCACACGGAATGGTGACGTACCATTCGGAGGATCACGCCTTTTCTCTGCAAGACAGAAACCAACAAGAATTAAAATCTAACAGACAGTAACAGTCTTGCATGGAAACAGCGTGAGGTTGAGCCATCGGAGGATCGGGAGATTTGGGATCGCAGGCATCAGGCCTTGGACGGGGAGGGGGGAGGGGGGGGGCGAGCGGGAATGGCGGGGAGAACACGGAGTGGGTTAGGGTCATCAGGTGCGGAAAGGCCCGGAATGCCGTCCTGGAGGATACGGGCGGAGCTACAGGGACAGATATTAAAAGCTGCCGTCTCAGACTCTAACAGCGTGAAATTGATCCCTCTTCAAAGACCAATATGAGTGAGCGGGGAGGGGGGGGATGGGGGGGGACTGGAAAGAGATGGGATTGACTCTCAAAGACAACGAGCCCTCAAGGGGCGACGGCTGAATCACCGGTTCTCCTCTGCTGCCGTTTCTCCAAATCACCCACGGCCGCCCGGAACCGCCGCGCCTCCTCGTCATTCGCGAAGTTCATGCCCACCTGGCAGGTCTGGGGGGGAGAAGCAGGACAGGGATTGGGGTTGGGGGCCAGAGGACCAAAGTCACTGGGGGCACGACCCCCACAGGCAACCTCCATTCGGCGAAAATGAAAGACGAATCAGCCCAACTACGCCCTATAACTGAGGGCTGCGCGAAGGCATAGCAGACGACGTCTACATTGTGAGGGAAACATGCTTCGGTTCCGCAATAAACTCACGTCTCCAACAAACGATAAGAAGTACGGCTTCGATTGGCTGAGAGTGAAGTTGTTGTAGAGTTCCTGCTCGAACAACTGCCTTCCATCCTGGGAAGGACAGGGGGACAGAAGGACAGGGGGACAGAAGGACAGGGGGACACTGCTTGACCTTCTTGGCATGACACCACTGGACAAAAGCACACGCAGATCTGTTCTGCTCCAGTTCTCTACTCGAGACACAGACATCTTGACAGATATTTTCCCTCACTATTTGGAAATAACATGTCCCAAGCCCACCCACCATGGACAGAACCCTGTCACAAGCATGTCCCCACTGGACCAGCACCTTTCTGTGGTGAACTCAGCCTACCCATAATCCCTCAGGCTGGCGGAGCTCACCTTGAGGTCGTAGACGCGTAAGAAATAGGAGCGCAGTGAGTTGTCCTTGACGAGGCACACGACTCCGCAGCACCTCTTCACCCAGGAGCTCCTGTCGGCCAAGAAGACCTGGACAACGGCGGAGGACATCGTCTGCCGTGGGAGAGGGGGACGGAGGGCAGGCAATGTTAAATATTCCCCAGCACACAGACAAAGCACCAGAGTACAAACAAGCTACGCTAACAACAAGCTAAGCTAATAACAGCCCTAAGAACACATCGCATGAAGCTACATATACAGTATGGACAAAGTACTGGGTCACCTGGCCCTTACACCCACAGGAACTTTTATGACATGTAAATCCATAAATGATTCTAAATCCATAGGCATCAATATGGAGTTGCCCCCCACCCCCTCTTTCCAGCTATAACAGCTGCCACTCTTCTGGGGAGGCTCTCCACAAGATTCTGGAGTGTGTCTGTGGGAATTTCTGCCCGTTCAGCCAGAAGAGCATTTGTGAGGTCAGGCGCTGATATTGGACGTGAAGGTCGGGCTCACAATCCAGTTCATCCCAAAGATGTTTGATGGAGTTGAGGTCAGGGTTCTGTGTGGGGCAGTCACGTTCTTCCACACTACACTCACCCAGTCATGTCATTATGGACCTTGCTCCATGCACTGGCCTTCCCCAAACTGTTCCCACAAAGTCGGAAGCATGGAATTGTCCAAAATGTCTTGATACACATACTGTACGATGGCCTGTTCCTGAGGGCGTGCAGGCCTGAGGGTGTACAGTCCGGCTGTGCCAATATTCTTGTCCATGTAGCATATATTAGCACAAAGCACCCGCATACAACACGCCACACTTACGAGACGCTAAGCTAATAACAGGCTAGGAACACAGAGCATAATGCTACATAAATTAGCTTCCCCCCCCACCCCAAGGACAGCTGCAGGGATGCCCAGAGAGGCGTCACGCGAGCTGGCAGCAGACGGCTGGCACCGCAGGGCCCGTCTCGGCCCTCTTACGTCACGGCACAGCCGACATCGACAAAGGGCTTCTTTGTCCCGCGCCGGGCCGCACCCTGGGAAGCGTGCACACATGTCCGGGAAGCACACTCGATCTGTCTGCACTTTCGACGCGACACTGACGCTCGCCTGCATCCTAAAAGTGAAAACGGGCCATCCTTCAGGCGAGTGCTGAAGAGCTATGGCAGAGATGCGCCGGGCGATATGGAACGTGGAACCCGCTCCAGAGGTCTCGCGATGTGCATGTCCTGGGGGCAACCCGAACACCGTGATGCAGAACGCGGAACCCACTCAAGAGCTCCCATGATGTGCGTGTCCCGGGGGTGACCCGAATACTGTGATGCAGAATCTACTCCAGATGTCCTGCTACTTGTGTGTTGCAGGGGGCAACCCAAACACCATGATGTAGTGCAATTGCAGGGGGGACATTTCTGGAAAATGAAGCTCAGAAAGGCCCCAGCTTTGAGGTCGCTGTAAGAGTGTCAATTTTTTTCTGATTAAATTGAAATACCCATCATCTTGCTGTTCCTTCCCTTCTGAGTTCTGACACAGTGAAAATGGAACATTAAAGTTTGTGTGGAACAGTGGTTAGCACTCTGCCTCACACCACCTGGACTTGGGTTCGAGTCCCCGTCCTGGGTCTACGTGTGTGGAGCTTGCATGTTCTTCATGTGTTATACTGGGTTTTTCCTCTGGGTTTTCTCCAATTTCCTCCCCACAGTTCAAAATGCACGCCAAGGTAAACTGGAGTTATCAAATGGGCTGTAGGTGTGAATGGGGTGTGTATATGCGTGATCTGTGATGGGTTGGCGCCCCATCCTGGGTTGTTCCCCAGAGCCTCTGGGGGAGGCTGCAACCCTGAATAGGACAAGCGGTTACAGAAAATGGATGGAAAACTTTCATGGAGTTTGTTTTTTTTTTATGCCTAAAGGTGAAAACAGTTTCCAGAGAGCTGGAGATGCCGTACAGCTGCCATGGTCAGGACCTCCCAGGGGGCGCCAAACTGACTCCTAACCACACCTGCTACTGCGAGGCCTCAAGGAACTGGGAAAGGACTCAGTCAGCAAACAGGCAGCATCAAAGCCATGGGGCTAATTGACAGGAAGGCGGTTTATTGAAAAAGAGGCGTCTTTCTTCCTGTTTGCTGAGCAGGATCACTGGGACGCTTCAGGAAGGTCATTAAGGGGCCCCACGCTGAGCCGGTCTGCCTCTCCATGGCCACCTAATGAATCTGCTGTGTGACTGGGAGGTAGGTGTGTGTGGGGGGTGGTTTCTGCCCTCTGGGGAATTTTCTACCTTACAACCAAATAAATGAGGCAAAACACACACCCCGTGAATCCTTCAGGGGTAACTTACAGGGCGTGCGCTGGGGGTCACAACAGCGCCCCCACCCAGCGGATCCAGTTACTACACCTGTGGGCGACTCTGGTATCCCATACGTTTTACATGCTGCCGTTACATTCAGAAAAACCCGTGGTCTCTAATATAGTATTGCTGGATCATGGACTGTGGTGATTCAAACCGCTCAACCAGCGCAAAATTCCATTTTACATTTATTTAACAGACGGTTTTGTCAAAACAAAAGTAAAGATCAGAAAGCTTGGTCAGTCAGCGTCCCGGAAACAACTGGAAATAAGGGCTTTGGACAAAAGTCCAACAGTGACATGATCACTCTGAGGGCCCTGGGATTCGAAACCACAGCCTTCCGAACATGGGTACAACTACACACCACCCGTGCTAAAATGATTTCCATTCACATTCCACATGCGTAAAACTCCACACACACAGGCCAGGACCGTAACACTTCACATCTCTGCCTTTGTTGATGAGTGATTCAGTCTAGAATTTGCCACATTCTCCATGGAGATACAGTAGACTACACTGCGGATACCACAGTGAGAAACCATCGCACCCTCGATAATAAGGAGACTGGGAAAGGATCAGCATTAAGCCCCTTAAGGCGCCTGTATACTTCAGACAATGTCGAAGTCGTTTTAGAAATACGTCATCGTATGAACCACTGCTAGCATTAAACCAATAGTGACTGTTAATAAGGAACACGTTCCACGTCCTCTCCTTTGTTGAAATGGCCACAGTACGTTTATCTACGCTCTTTATGTGGGTCTGCTGAGTCATGAGCATTCGACACCCTCTAGGGCAGGGGGTGCTGCGTAACAAACGAGGCGGCGCCGTTGTTTTAAGTGTACACTTTGCTCTTGCCGATGTGCTCGATTCCATTTTGTCTGGACATTATTTGATATGTTCGGCCGCCTTAAAAACAGGAAGCGCAAGTTCCCTGCCATCTCGGAAGCGGGGCCTGGAGCCGTATTTTAAAGGAAAAAGTGACCCCCAGGCAGGACTCGGGAGCCTGTGGGAGGAGCCAGTGACCATGGGGGAGGGGCCAGGGAGCCTGTGGGAGGAGCCAGGGAGCCTGTGGGAGAAGCCAGGGAGCCTGTGGGAGGAGCCAAGGAGCCTGTGGGAGGAGCCAGGGAGCTTGTGGGAGGAGCCAGGGAGCCTACTATTCAAACCACACATTTGCATGGGTCCCCTGTTGGCCACAAGCAGTCACTACACTAAATATTAAATACATGTACATTTAATAATAATAATAATTTCTGACAATTTATTGATCCCTATGGGGAAATTCCCATTTCACCCACCCCATCTTGCTCTCCATGACACAGACACACATGTAGGTGAGAGGAAGCCTGGCAGTGAAGGGCAGCCACCTGCCACAGCGCCCATGGAGCTGGGGGTTAAGGGCCAAGCTCAAGGGCCCACAGGCGTGACTATTCTGCTGAGGCCGGACTTGAACCAGCAACATACTGATCACAGGTACAAAGGCTTAACCCGCTGAGTCACATGCTGCCTAAGAGATGCTGAAGCGGCATGCTATGCTAACCAGCTAACTAGCTACAATCTTCTGACTCTACGCACTAGCTATTTATTTAGTTGTTAAAAACATCTGAGAGGGGGACGGGGACGAGGGGGGGGAGCAAACTGACTTTTTGACTGACAGACTTTTTTAATTGGGCCCCAGAAAGGACTCAAAGGCAGTGACTCTGAAAACCTCTCAGCGTTTTGGTGGGTCGGATTCAAATGTAAAACTTGTGTGCCCCCCCCCCCCCCCGGACTGATCCGGAAAAACCAGAATGACAGAAAGGCCACCAGGTAAACCCTCGATCAGGACACCAGAAGGGTCGGAGCAAGTGGAACCAGAAGGGTGCCCCCCCTCACTCTCAGCTGGCCTGCAGCGGCCCCCAGAGACCACTTCAAACCACGCAAGCGGAAAATGCTGAGGAACCAGTATGGGATGGTAACCTCACACAGCTACAGCCTTCGGGGTGATGGGGACTACAGTCTCTGAGCAACAGGCCTAATGACACCTGTCACAGGCCGGCAACGCTGCTGCGGGGATGACGGGTTATGAACGGAAACGCGAGGGTTAACGGCAGCCACACTAAAGCTATAAAATCCGACGTAGAAGGAAAACATGAACTTTGAATAGCCATATAAAAGCAGCCAGGCGCTGAATTCCACACACATCACTTCCGTGTTTATGTCCTTTGTCACCGGTCTCGATTATATGGTCGTAAAGGCCTGGGACTCGGGTGAAAGTATGGCAGGTATGATCTCCATGCACTCTGTCACTCCACCCCCTCGGAAAGGGACGCTGAATGCCGGGCCGTCAGCAGCCTCCCCCGGCAACGGGGCGTGACACGCCCGGGGAGCGACTCCATACCTGGCCTGCTATTCCCATTTCAACGGCGCTAAAGGCTGAACGCTAAAGGTCAGAGAGGAGGTTGCTGCTCACTGTGTATCCCCAGGGCCGCGGGGAAACCCTGGTGATACGACGAACAGTGATTTCATGAACACCCGGAGCTCAGTAACCCGGCTGAAAACGGTACACGCTAGTCCTGAATTACCTGAAAGTCCACACCATCACTGTGAGCCCACGATCCCAAGCAAATACGTGCAAGGAGATCACAAACAGCTCTCGCTATATTCTCCTTGGTGCATGTCACAACACACCCCGACCCACATTCAGCACATAATCTGATTATTTTATTCCACAAGAATGCAATGTTTGCTGTTTGATCAACAAACTATCAGTTTGTTTTTGTGCTGTAAGTTTAAGGGTGTAATAAGATTTCCTCCATTCCGATCTGCAAATGTAAAAGAGAATGAAACAAATCTGACTGATGGGGGGGGGGGAAATCAACCACGAGAAAAGTAATCCAATCGTATAAGTGCGCTGGAAACGGCATCATACAAAGAAAAATGAAAAGGGACATTATGGGGAAGATGGTGGCACAGGGGGTAGTACTATTGTTCAGCAACTGGAGGGTTGCAGGTTCAAGCCCTGATTCCTTCTGTCCCCATCAAAGTGTCCTTGAGCAAGACACTGAACCCCAAATTGCTCCCGGTGTGCAGGTCGGCACCTTGCATGGCAGCCTCCACCACTGGTGTATGAATGTGAGTGTGGATGGGTGAATGTGAGGCATGTATTGTAAAGCGCTTTGAGTACTCGTAGGAGTAGAAAAGTGCTATATAAATGCAGTCCATTTACCATTTACCATTACATTAAGAAAGCAAGAAAGGAAGCAGGCCACCTGGGCTGAATACCAGATGTAGGATGGCCTTTTCAGGTGACACCACAGAGCCCGCATCTACAAAATACCTGCTCTCACTTCACAAAAGAGTTTCAGAGATTTACAGTTTAAATTTCCAACGCCAGGTTTGTTTAGGTTTCGACAAACTATGCGATTTAGCAGTTTAAGACGATCCAGATAAGGAAACTGTCTAACCAGGTACAGATAATCCTGGAGACACGTGTTTAGGTGCAGTAACAAAGTACCGATCCCCTGAAAGTGGATCAGGAGACACCCAGGATCGTCTTAAGACAAGGGCTGAAACTTTCCATTGACTTCGGGTACTTTTAAACCCAGCACAAGTGACATTTCTCGATCATCATTTTGTGACATTGAATCGAAGTCTACAAACTGCATTCGATTTTTCTGGGACGGTCATGGGTAATAATAAAAAAACAACTTACGGTGCATTTTTTACCCAGATGGCCGAAGAGGCACTCGTTTTCTTGCGGTGTCAGGACAATGGAGCCGCAGTTTAGGATCCGCCTCTGCGGCGGAGGACCACTCATGGTTTAAAAAAATCAAATAAAAAATTAATTACAACTCTTCAGGTCTATTAGATAAGTGACCAGCAGTCATTGATCACAGCTGGCCCGTGGCCGGACCTGTCGCATTGGTGCGCAGTGTAACTATCAAAACGCTGCCGCTAAAAGCTTGACTTATTTTTATTTAGGTCCCTCCAAAAGGTACGCAGGTTCACAGCTTCGGTCCTTGGGGGTATCGGAAGGGCCAGTATCTTCCCCAGAAACGCCGAGCCTAAACTTTCATCCGAGCAGCAACGGAGGCATCGTCCAACATGGCAGCAAGGAGACTGTACCACTGGCTAAGCGATGGGGGTACCCGCTCCAACTGGGCTACCGGGCTATCCCGATTTCACCCTCGAAAAAAAAAATGCGAAGATATAGTTCCCTGTAGAACTCCTCCAAACCACACTCTGAAAACATTAATAGCGCTTAACACTAATAGATGTAGGGAAAAACACAATGTGAGAATGATAAGCCACCTCCCAAACGGAGAATGGTGCGTCCCTGTGGATCGTGCAGCAGGAATGCACTGGGCAGGGCGGGGATACCGGCTGCGCGATGCCAGCGCGCTGGCTGCTGTCTAAATGGTGGCGGGGGCGGTGCCCCAGTGTTAAGTTGGATTTCAAGTTGTAAACTTGATAAAACTATTTCTCCTCTCACATGTCTCTCAACTTAGAATTGGAAATGTGCGCTAATTCCCAATTGATGGATGCCTTTCCATGTCCCTTCACGCCAACATAAGAAAGCAAAAATAATGCATTTTTTTTTCGCAAAAATGTAACGAACTGGTATAGAGTGTGTCCTAATGCGATTTATGATTATCAAAACCTATCGGTTTTGCACTGAGATAAAAGCCGATTTTCAGTTCTGAAATGATTTAGGTATATCAGCTACATTACGATTCTGTAGTGGAAGTTCATCGATGGATAAACAGTGTATTGCCGTTTATTAGTTTTCAGTTGTACTTCAAAAAATTAAGATCTATTGCAATCCCTTCCGTGACAGTCGACGTTCACGCGATACTGCATATTTTATCACTGAGGTTGCGGGAAGAGAGATGCACCGAACACATATCCCTGTGTAACGCAATCTGTTTACACATCACATACAACGTCATAAAAAACATACTGTAGACCCTGTCTGTTTTACTCTGTTTGACATTTTATTTGAGACTTGTTGCGAATTTGAACAGGTTTCGTGTTTTTTTTTTTTTTTGCGTTTTTTCAACGTCATATAACTTAGTTCGTTTTAATCACATTCCTGCTGACGTGGGTAAAAGGTACATTGACCACCTAAAAGTGTCTCGTGAAATGCCACAGCGCGATAGTTTCATTCCATTTCAGGCTGAGTTTTCTATTCTTCTCAAAAATGTCGCTGCCTTTTAAAGCATGCGTCATAAATCTAAGGTAGCATGCCGTCTCCACCACGTCCCCGGACCGCACCCCTGCGCGAGCAGGAACCTAAAACCAGTGTAACCAGCCAGGGGAGGCTGCCCCAAAGAGGAATCGACTAATGCGCGCGGGTCAGCCACTCCACTACTGGGGGATGGGCGCACGAATCGAGAAAGGTGCAAGTCAGTTTGAAAATGTCGAAGCTTTGGAGTGTATTTGCATTTTTTTTTTCACGTATTTGTCATGTGCTGTAATGCTGCCGAGGCAGACAGAATCTGTGTGGCTTAGTGGTGACTGACTAATGCCTTGGTTCCGTAGGTGATCAGGTTCTTTGGGCAGATTACAGGAGGAATCGGCGGGACAGATCCTGGGGGGGTCCCAAGTGGGGTCAGTGCAGACCCCCACTGTCTGCTTCATTCTAGCTGTGCTCTATGACCCACCTGTAGCTGGTCCGCAATGAACAGTGCCTTGTCTAGCTGTGCCCGTGCGCCTCTGTACGTTAGAGTATGTTACATGTAGCTCTCATCACATGACCTGTTGCCAAGCAGCACAGCATGCTTCAAAATGACGATCTCGGGGGGGGGGGGACTTGCTGGAAGATGCAGAAGCGTGTTTACTGACGAAATTACGTCGCCGTACAGTTTCCAGGTATGAGCTCTTTCCTGGACCAGATAACAGAGACAATCTGGTTCTCGATCTGCTGTAATGAATAGTTACCTCATTCCTCCAGGGCTCTGCGTTTGATTTCATTCCCAGCCCTTTGTATAGAGTCTGCCACGTCGGTTTCCGTGCACATGTAGGCCAGGTGAACTGCTGGGTCTGACTCACTGCACTCAGTGTGTGAGTTCATGTGTTCACTGGGTCTGACTCACTGCACTCAGTGTGTGTGTTCACTGGGTCTGACTCACTGCACTCAGTGTGTGTGTTCATGTGTTCACAGGAGTGGCAATATGTAATAAGGTCGTGCAGATCAGTACTGAAATATTGATTTTTTGATATTGAATCATTCATTTTCAGAAATGATACTAATGTAAAAATATCAGTATTTTAATCTGGCATTTTAAATGTTTAAATTAGAATATTATAAAGAGCAGCACATGAACCTTTAGCAGGCAGGACTGCCTGACATTCCCAGGGTCCGACCCTACAGACAATCAATCTACCGGTATCCCCCCCCCCACTCCATGTTGGTAAATTTCATCATCAGCACGCCTCCCATCCCTGAATATTGGGATTGGTTTTCGCGATACCAGGCTTTGCACTGGATGGAATCAGATCAAAAACACACATCGCTCAGCGTCCCAGGGTGCACTCTAGCTTTGTGGCCTGTGATCCCCCCCCCCCCCCATAACTTTGACCGGGCTTGTATCACAAAACAGGATTTCTCACTTAGCCGGAAAACTTGTCGGATTTAAGACAGTCTGAACTAAATGTAAGTGAATGAAGAAAAAGTCCATTTGAAGTGGGGGCACATTTAGCCAAGCAACAACTCTCCCTTCATGATACAGGCCCCAGGTCAGCAATATAAGCAGAATAAGGAAGTAATCAATCGTATTTATTCTGCAAATGATTTCTTATAGGTTCAGTTCCTTTTTGTCTCTAGAGGCCAAGCATGAGGCTGTAGGAAAGTGACGAGACAAGCAAGCAAACAAGGACCAAAACAACAGAACATGACAACAAGCTTCCTTTGATGGCAGAGGGGCGATTCCACAGGGCCTCACTTATTCCAGCTCGTGGCTGTGCAGTCATCTCAGCCTCGATGATAGATCTCACACCTGGAACGAACATCGGCTCTTTCCTCACCTCAAACTTCAGCGAGAAGCACAAATCGACGCCCCCACGATGGCTCCGTGGCTATGAATCGCCCTCAGACCACCATCGTAAAACGGCACGGCGCCAGGCGACGTTTGGCACGGCCGTGGTCGCATGTGACTCGACAGGATTCCTCTAGTAGGAAGTGCTCTCCTGTGAATCAAACAGAATGAATAATATACTTCATTGTTGCAAAGAGGAATTGCTTCTTCAAAGGCAGCATTCAGCGCACTGGCCTATCAAGCGGCAGTGGAAACAGTATTGTATGCGGTACCTCTGATAGGGTGACCACCTAATCCATATCAGGGAGGACACTTTGAGCTGGGACAGGGTTTGTAAACTACCATTTCAATGAAAAAGACCTGCATTTCACTTAAGCACTGAGTTCTTGCTGTGTGCTGATTGGTCAGTCTCCTATAATCATGCATATGTCACTAATGCTAATGTGAAACAGCTGGATGAGTCTTTCGATCAAGGAAACAAACCAGTCAGAGCACAAGAAGGACTGAACTATTTAGCCAATCAGAGCAGCCTTTCAGTTTTAAAGTAGTTTGTAAAACCTGAAGTAGCTCAAAGTGTCGCTCCTGACATGGATTATCTGGATTATATGGTAACTCTAAACACCAAAGAGACATTTTTAGAGAAATCAGTGGACAATAAACAGGACCAGCATCATGTCTCAATCCCCAATTCTCCCTAAATCTGCCCAGCTGACCCTATTTCAACCCTCGCAAGAGCCACAGTCTAATCAGAGCCAGATGTGTCTCATGTCCTAAGGCTTGCCGTCAACTGCCATGAAAATGCAGCCATTTAGCATAAGCAAATCTCTGCCTGCCACCAGCTCAGATGTACAGAGGCAACAAGGGAAACAGTCAGCTTTGCTTAGAGTAGTAAACAAGCAAACAGACGATGACTGGATGGACAGATTTCAGCTCAGGGCTTAAGTGGAAAGCCCAAGGTGACAGAAAAGATTTTTGGGACATTTATATAAGCTGACGACAAGACAAGTTTTGTAGAGTTATTGTTAAGGAGTCTGAAGGCGCCGGGTGATAGAGTGAGGAAGCCCAATCAGCTGTAGGCACCTTCAATCCAGTGCCTCATTTTCAAAAATCCATTGTGACAGTACGTCTCTAAAAAGGCCTGGGCTTGTTTATGACACAAAACAGGGGCGTCGCTCGAGGTTTTGGGTCCCATGAAATCATATCATATTGGGCCCCAAACCCAGACCAATCCAATCATATTCCAAATTGTTTAGGACTGACCTGGGAAAACAAAGGAGAAACAGACACATAGACGTAGAAAAGCACATAGTGACAGACAGGGGCGTTGCTAGAGATTTTGGGCCCCATGAAAGCATATCATATTAGGCCCCCCAGTCCAAACCAATCCAGTTATTTTCCTAATTTTTTAGGGCCCCTGTCACTCAGGGGCCCTTGGAATCGTCCTAGCTTTCCTCCCCCTTACGGCGCCCCTGGTGACAGATGTTACTTAAGGAAATCTGGACTTTAGCAAGAAATATCCGAGATACGCAGAGTTTACAGAAGCACTAACACAAAAAGGCAACATGCACCTGCAAGTACGTATACAGTGTATCACTCTGTTAAATGTGCGCGCTTTAGTACGTATACAGTGTATAACTCTGTTCAATGTGCGCGCTTTAGTACGTATACAGTGTATAATTCTGTTCAATGTGCGCGCTTTAGTACGTATACAGTGTATCACTCTGTTCAATGTGCGTGCTTTAGTACGTACACAATGTATCACTCTGTTAAATGTGCGTGCTTTAGTACGTACACAATGTATCACTCTGTTCAATGTGCGCGCTTTAGTACGTCTTGCTAGCATATTTTGGCAGGTGTGTTTTTTGCTGTAAGGTGTCTTATATGGTATGGGAAAGTCAATCTGACCTAAGTAAAAATAGACTTACATGGCAGTTTGTGGAGCTTATTGCTTATGTGAGTTGAGATGGGGTGGTGTGTGTGTGTGTATGTATGTATGTATGTATGTATGTATATATATATATATATATATATATATATATATATATATACACACACACACACACACACACACACACATATATATATATATATATATATATATATATATATATTACTACTACTACTACTACTATACTACTACTCTCTCTATATATGTGACACTAATCTGGGGACTTGTGAATTGTGAGCAGGGCTCCAACCTTTAAACAGCCATCATTATTCGTGAGTTACTCTCATTCTCAACAAGCACCACTAGATGGCAATGTATCATAAAAAATGTTATTATTGCCCAGTTACACGGATGGCTGTATGAAAGATTTGCCCAGTAGATAAAAGCATCAACAACGTATTCAAGAATAAATGCAAAACAAGATGAAACTTGTTCCCAAATTTGAATTTCAAAAAGGAGCAGCCATTTATCAGACATCTTAACTCTTAAACACTAATTTCCTCATGAAATCATGGATATATGACTGATTTCGAGAAAACTCCCAGAACTTCCAGGAGAGGGCGCTGTGCTGCTCAGTTACTGCACTGGCAGGGGGGAAAATGGGGTGTATGCCGAGATGCCGGCTGGGGTGACTCCTGCACTGGGAGATCAACCAGAACCAACCAGAAACAGAACTGAACAGCTGGCGTGAGACTTTTGCTGGTCCTGAACCAAAGCAGCTCAAGTCGACTTAAATTCACCAGCAGCTCTGTGTGTGTGACGTTCCTGTGAGGGTTTACAGTGTGAACCCATTAGCTGCTCCATGAGGCATGGGACAGCCCTCCAGAATAGCGGGCATTTCCTTATGGCAAGTATTGGACCGACCCACAAATCGGAAGCGTGTCTCTGAAGGAGCTTCTCCATCCTGGTCTCTGTGATGAACATGGTCATTGATCACTTTCCAGATGTTTTTCCATCACAGTCATTGATGTAGGCAGGGCTGGCTTAAAAGTATTATGGCGCTTTTTCCTTGCCCCCAAGAACTGAGTCGTATCTAAACCGGTCAGCAAACTGGTGGTTTTCCATTAGGTGCTTTCACACTGCTGGAACCTTTTTCCTGGAACCAGAACCTTTTTCTGGAACCAGGGTCTTTTGTCATGTTCACACCAGAGGACCTCGGCCCGACTGTAGTCCCTCGGAGGCAGTTCCAGAAGCCTTTTTCAGTACCTGCTCCAGACTCTGTATTTTCCGTTCAAACAAGAACTATCGGGGAGGCGGTTACAGGGATAGCTTGTTGATTGGTAAACCACAAGCACCGGTGCTAACATGGGCTGTTTCTCAATACCAAGAATACTGGCGGTCTTGGCAAAACCGGTCTTGCCAACTTGCTTGCTTCAACAAAAATTGCTTTTCTCTCTCTCGTATTTAATGCATTCAAATGGCTCACCAAGTACTCCCTGGAAGTATTATTTTTAAATTGAAAAACAATCAACAATTGTCAACAGGATACAATTATATATGCAGAAAAAGAAAGATAAAGGAAGCAGATAAAGGAAAATTACTACAGGACATTGTGTTCATAAACATACATGAGGGTAGTATTAATATACATTGAAAGAGAGTATATTCAATATTTAACTGTTGACCTGGAAAACAAATTCGAGCAGTAGCCAAAATTTGCAATGTTCTTTTTGTAATAACATAAAAAGTTGTATTCTTTACAAATTCTAGGGATTTGAGTACAGATTCTATTTCATTTAAGAAAAGTAGGAAGGATGGAACAGAATTTGAAAAATTTTGGTTGTGAATAAAAAAAAATCCCATACAAAATAAGTTACTGACATATTCTAAGTGATGCATTTTCATAGTAACAGATGATACCTTTAAGACTGAAGGTGTGAGTAACCTGGATCTTCCTGCAACTATCTGAAGTCTACATGGACCATGTGACAATGAAGCATTTCGAACCTCCATTGACGCTCTCTCTCTACACGGGCCTGAGCAGCAGCACATGTGACGTCACGTCAGAAAGACGGAGCTGATGGGTGACTCACGACATTCAGAAATGCACCTAACAGAGGAAAATTATTACATGGGCTTTTCAGTGAGTCCCCTATTAAACGCTAAAAAAATACAATAATATTTGATGTATTAAATAATAAATCACATTAACTTGTTAAAAGCCATTTGTGAATGATACATGGGGGGGCTATGGGGGTCCCTCCATTTGGTACCAAATCCCCACCCCCTTTGGTGCCACCAAACCCAGTCTAGAGAAACACAATCACTTGAGTTTGAAAGACATTTATTTTGGTTTTGCATAGCAAAATCCAGACCCCTTTACCAATTCATCCACATTTATGACAGAAAGTTTGAAACAGGTTTATTATTGTTAACAAAAACTAAAACTTATAAGATCATGAGAATATAAGTTTGTAAACCAATAAAAAGACACATAAAATTAAAAAACAACTAACCAAAAACCAAATACTGCTTCCAAAACTAACTGAAATAAAAAAAAACAAACATCATATAGGTTCTGTTAGTGTTTTTCATATTATTTATCTAAAATAATGATGTATATCTTCAGTGAAGGTTAATAATACCAGGAACATGTTTCGCCCATTTTGTGGACATTAGTACATAACGGTCACTGCGTATGATTCTCTAAAAATCAGGCACATAAATACCTCTACAACATTCAGCCTCTCCCTAGAAATAAAATTATTAAAACATACTGAAACTAAATTATAAAACCTAATCAGAAACCCATCTGTCCATTTTCCATACCTTCTTTGTCGCGCGCGCGCACTGTAACAGACTGCAGCGCGTCTGTCCCTTTAAATCAGGTTTAAATGTAAATGTTTTCCCGCTGGTCATGAACAAAAGACGCTAAAACATATTGTCCGTAGTACAAACATTTATTCGAGTTCATAGTAAACAATACCCATGTAAAGGTTCTTTAAGGTGCGCACAATTTACCATCAGAACATTTGCATGTTTACTACAATTCACTTTGTTAAAATGTTTGTAGCCAGTTACCTGTGTCACTCTTCCGGGTGTGCTCCAAGAAACCGGAGAGCAGGGGGGTTCATGGTACTTTTTGTTATTTTATTAAGGAAGTGTTGCCTGATATTTTTATAACTTGTACATTGAATCTAAAATGTATTCCGTTCAGGTAAAATGTTTAAGATGGTAAAATCATGTGTTTAGCAGTTGATTGATTTTAAAACAGTCAATGGTGTTGCCTAGCGTTTCAAATATGTCCTGCGTGGCTCATTCGAGAGATTTGCTTCTGCAGTGAGAGATCGTGTTGGACTGTTCTGCGTGGAAGTTAACGTGGGTATTGTCCCAGAATTTTGTTTGTGTTTGAAATCAGTGTTTTTTTTGTTTTATGTCAGTTTTGTCACCTGCCGGTAGCCTACAAATAAACATCTATTTTTTGAAGACTTCTGTTGCGTTTGTCCATCATTCTGCTCTGCCCAACCCATCCGCTGGGGCTCACTGCGTTACACACCATCAAAGGAAAAACATTTATAGTTTGTGTTTTAGTTTAAACAAATAAATTGATAATGATGAAATCATATAGTACAGGCCAGGGATCTCCGAGTTTATTTACATTACGACTAAAAAAAAAATAATCTCAGGATTATGTTCGAAGCAAGAGTATATCAACCTGGCAGTCAAACCTGACAGACAAGATTAATTTTACTTTCAGTATGAAGAGCGCCATGACAGTGACAATACCCAAATGTATATGCACATAAGCAAAATAATAAAAAAAAAGAAGTTAATGTGATAGCTCCTGCTTCTAAAAATTGCTAAAAACATGAAGATTGTCTAAATTTTACATACCCTCTAAATTGCCTAGGGTGCCTCTGCTTGTGCCTCCTGACGGACAAGCGCCCCCTGCAGACCGGCAAAGGGACACTTCTCTCCCTTTTTAAACCCATTAATTTGCAGCAGCAGGAACAGGACAGACCATCACTGGGTCTTCGTCTTTACTAAAAATGATGATGATTGGGTAGAGTTTCTCAGTGAAGGTGACATTTGAGAAAGTATGTAAATGACTCTTTGAGTTCATATGATAAATGGAGATCAGACTTTTTTCACAGTCCACATACACACCCACTTGGCTGGGTATAAAAGTCTTTCTCAATGCCTTAAAATTTTCATTTCTGTTGGTAACAACCCAGAAACCATTTTCTGGTGATAACTGAACTGATTTCTTCCTTATGGCAGATTCGACAGCCACACCTAAACCACAAGATGCATTTTTTACTTGAACCTCCCAATAATGTCTGCCCGAGGTGAAGCCATTCTTTCCTAGAACAGCTTTGAAAAAAGAAAACCTCTTCAGAACGTTGTCTCTCTGGACGTCACCAAAACTGAAAAGGGAAATCCTCTTCGGACTGTTGTCTCTCTGGCCGTCGGCAGTATACTTTACTTTTGTACAATTTTCATACACCTCTAGGTTGGGATGTGCAGTACTGGGGTCCAGGGTAACAACCACTGCGTGCTTCTTGACGTTGTCACACTCAGCCTGAATGATTTTGGTCTCCAGCTGTTTTACGTGCTCCTTCAGCACGGACAGGAGAAGCCTAGGAGTCTCCACACACATGACAGTGTGAATAGAAACACCAGACCAGTCTTGTGTATCTGGATGAGCACAGACAGCTGAGAAGTTCTGTAAGAAGTTGATGTGATCCTTGTTGTTGGAGAACCTCTTCAGCTCAGCACTCTTCTCCTTCAACGCAGTGATCTCGCTCTTGAGAGCCTGAATGAGTTCCTTTGCTCTCTGCTGCACTGCTCTCTGCTTCTGCTCAATCTCATTGATGAGACTGGCCTGACAAATATCAATAGTCTGCTTCAGAGTAGTAAACACCTGAACACCTTCCTCAATCTCTTTCTCTGTATTCTTCTCACCAAGCATAACTAGTCTTCTGAGCTCCTCCACCTTCTTCAGGCGGTCCAGGATTTTCTGCTTGACCTCAAGCTCAGTGTTCCTCAAACAGGTCTTCTTCTCAGTCCTCTCACTCTCTACTGGCACAAGGTGATGCATCTCATGGTCCACCTCAGCACACAGCACGCAAACACACATATCATCCTCCCTGCAGAACATCTCGAGGAGCTTGCTGTGCACCTCACAGATTCTGTCCTTTGGGTTCTCCAACGGGCTGACCAGCTCATGCTCCTCAAATTGGGTCAGGTGTTCCTGAACATGGCTGTCACAGTAAGATGAGAGGCACTGCAGGCAAGTCTTCACGGCATCAAGCTGCTCACCAACACAGACATCGCAGACCACACCACTGGACTCAAATGACCGTTTCAGTCGCTTCTGTCGCAATTCCTTGGTGATCTCAGCCAAAGCAACATTTACATTAAGATTAACTGGTTCGTCGAATGTTGTCTTGCACACCGGACACTGCTGTTTGTCGTTACCGCTCCATTGCTGACAGATGCAGTCTTTACAAAAACTGTGGCCACATGGGATAAACACAGGGCAGGAGAACACTTCCAAACATATTGAGCACTGCAAATGTCCCTCAGACATCTGAATGGTAGCTGAAGCCATACCTTTGTTTGAGAGTCAAGTTAGTATCACAGAGCTTATGGCAAACTTTTCTGCAGAGTCCCTTGTAAAATCAGTCGAGTTTCCGTGTCGCTGGTGATTCTCGGGAAAACCAGATCAAGATGTTCTAGCTGCAGCTACATGCGAATGGATATAAGATTGAGGTTTATAAAAAGACATTCACTGTACAGCCATACTCTACTCTTCCTGTCTAAAAGGGACGGTAGGTTTCATTTCCTTACCACTTTGATTTCCCTCCAAGCCACTGCCGTATGTCGCTGTTCCCAAAACCAGGGCAATCAATTTTGTGAATCTAAACTGAAGCCTTTATACACGGGTAAGTTTCGATTCTGTTGAAGCATGTCAATGACCACCCCAAGTTTCTAGGACTGTGATTGGCTCCTCTGATCTTAAAGTGACAGCAGCACATTCACACAGGGCTGCATGTCTTAATGACACACCCCATTTCTGTTCTTTAAAAACAAAACTTCATGTGAGAATCTCTTCAGGTATGGATTATTAAGCCATAGGAGTCACCCAAGGATGCGAATTGTAATTTTTACTACTAAATAAGTCTGGTATTTTCATATATGACAAGCAGACAAGAGGGGAGATGACATAATGACATCCACGAGATACAGGTTCCATGCAACACTGAGCCGTAAACACCCAGGGATGGGGCGCCACCTAGTGGCAGGGAGTATAGCAGCTTCCAGTGCGGAACATCAGTAATATGCAAATGGAAGTGTAAACAGTGTGCATGGTAGGCAGTGTATGAATAGGAATACATACAGTGTGCATGGTAGGCAGTGTATGAATTGGAATATATACAGTGTGCATGGTAGGCAGTGTATGAATAGGAACATATACAGTGGGCATGGTGGACAGTGTATGAATAGGAATATATACAGTGTGCATGGTGGGCAGTGTATGAATAGGAACATATACAGTGGGCATGGTGGGCAGTGTATGAATAGGAATATATACAGTGTGCAGGGTAGGCAGTGTGTGAATAGGAACATATACAGTGGGCATGGTGGGCAGTGTATGAATAGGAATATACACAGTGTGTATGGTGGGTATTGTGTGAATGACAGTATACATAGGAGTTTTGGGACAGGTAGAGAGAGAGAAAAGGGGACAGTAAAAGACAGAGAGACAGACAGACAGAGACAGATAGAACGGAGAGCAGAAAAAGATCCAACTCCCTGTAGGAACAGGTTCCCATGGAAACAGCAGATGGATCCCCATCTAAGTCCCTCAAACCTAGCAGACAGGGGCACTGACCACTCAGAGCCGAGTCTCACGGGGAAGCGATGTCAGGCTGAATCAGGACCTTTCATGCTGATGTACATCTGAAATGGACCATCTTCCTACCACGGTGTTTCTGATTCAGTCTCTTCAGTGCTTATATACATTTCCTGAAACATTATTGATATTTTCACACCGGACACAAACCTTATGATAGCTGCTAAACTTCAAAACCAGATACATAGAGCAAAGCGACATGGTGAATAAACAAGAGACACCAGCACTAACACGGGTCACTGACGGCTCCTTCTTCCAAGCCTAGTTGCTATTACAACCTGGATTACCAGGTCACAATCACAGTAACCAACTTTTTTAAGGTTTCTCCCACCCACGGGTTAACTTGCGGTTGGTGTGATCAAGCACGTCCCAGCATGCTGAGAGATATCTGCCAGTACCCCTGCGATGCATCGTGTCGTTCACTGAGTGCATGCCTCTATGCTCTCTGTGCTGTGGTACGTAGCCTGCAGATTGTAAATCGGCTAGATCAGTGATTCCCTACCCAGATCTTGGGGAGCTACAGCCGGTCCATGTTTTTGCTCCCTCCCAGGTGGAGCAAAAACGTAGACTGTCTGCAGGTCTCTGAGGTCCAGATTGGGAAACACTGGCTTAAACATTTTACAGAAAAAGGACAGCATTCTGATACTAGGAGACACAGTGAGAAAGATGTTAAACATGCTGAGGAAATGGCTATATTTGTACTAGAGATGAAAAGGTATGAACATTTTATATCACAGAGCACGATATTCGGACTGACCTCCTTCCCGTCGCAGGCACAGAGACCTAACCGCGGAGCAACACAGTGAATTTGCTCAGCCTGTTCAGTTTCTGCTGGCATTTCTGACTTGCCTGCAGACCACACAATCCGAACAGCACCCTGTAGTCTGGGGTCTCAGGCATGTGAGGGTCTATGAGCTCAGATCCCTTGCATACTAAATGAGACCAAATGAAAGAGGAGAGGCGCTAGGATATTGGCCCAGTGCGGCTCCGCACTTACCAGCATTCCCAGTACCTCAGAACTAGACGGCCACTGGGTCTATGAGCCCCCCCCACAAGGTGTGCTGGGACAAGCGTGGGACGGGGCAGGAAGTGCAGCCGATCGCTGCCCTCTAATCACGCCGCTGTGGTTCTGTCTCCATCCGCTGTCAGGAAACGCTCCCACTCTGCTTTCTCCTCCTGCCTCCCCCCCGCCACCGTCACTGGCAGTGAGTATAAAAGGGTGCTGCCCGTTTGGCTGGAATAGCAGGACCGCAGAGTTCCTGGGGCCCCCCTCCGTCTGGCAGGAGAACCTGCACCGATGCATGCGACTCCGCAGGTAAGACACGGCCACCTGACGCCGGACTCCTGCACTGAAACCAGAAGTCCAGAAAGTTCTAGAAACAGGTGTGAGAAGATTGCTGTAACTTCGGTTTCACAAAAGGAACTGGGTTATGCATCATGTTGCAAATTGAGCATTTTACTCAACTATTAACAGTAATGGGTACCTGGGTAACAATTTAAACTAATTTAAAGTCATTTCAGTCAGTACATCCATCACCCACATGCCACACTTAATGTGGAATCTACATAAATCCATAAAAATGACATTGAAAGACAAAGTGGTAATTAATTCTACATATAGCAACAGTTCCATAATAAATAGTTCAGCAAGACGTGTTAGATATTTTATCAAGGATGTAAGTTCCATAGATCATGTAATACCATGTTTCAATGCAAATAATGGAGTAAATTTATTGCGGGACATTAACAGGTATTAACAAACTATCAAAGTGACATGATCTGTACCTTAACATGAGAAAGTTCATCTTAAGCCGTTTCATTCATCCAGAATCCAGAATGGTATCCATCTCTATAATTATCTCTCTGACAATAATCATCAGCCTAGATATAGCTGAGGATTTAAATTACTGCTTAGAGGTACACGCCTATGTAAATGTTTATACAGCTAGCGCTGACACCTAGTGGTAAAATGACAGAACATGCAGTAGATATCACTGGAGGTAGCATTTTGCCTGTGAGCTCAGCTGGGAGGGTGTTTGAACAGGAAACGGCTTATTTCTACTCTTCCTGGACATACGTGGGAGGTTTTACATTTCAGAGAGGCTTACTTTTGCAAACAGCCTGGTTATGTGTTCCAGTCGGCCTACATTCTCCTGCTTTCCCAATTTATCAGGCTTTAATAATGCTTGTGGAAAATCGACAGGCTGCAGTGACGTCCTGTCCCACAAACGGCCTCCATCTCAGCTGCTTTACCCATCATTCCTTGCTCCTTCATGAACATCCTACTTCACCACTGCCATGTCGTGCTGATTCTGAACGTTTCAGTGTAATAAGAATAATGAGCTAAATATTTCGCAGCACAATATGACATATTTCTACATGATCACGGAACTGTGATGTGACATTGTGACCCCCCCCCTCCCGCCCCAGCTTCCAGAACCTTCCAGAAACCTGCCTGCTCTAGCTACAGGTAACAACAGGTGTGTCCCAAAATGTAACAACCAAATATATGTTTTCTGTAGCTGTTTCAATGTGTTTCTTAACTTCCGGATCTCACACTTGATTTCCAATAGGACAAAGAGGAACTGCAATTCTCTGCAATTCTTAGCCTTTTAGACTAAATCATGCCGGCTGTTCATTGACAGGATGCCTGGCGAATCAAAGAGGAGTAGAAACAGGATGCACTGGGGATTGGTGAGTGGCACGTTTCACCAGCCTATCCCTGCTGCCTCCTCGCTCACCTGCACATGGCTGATTTGCCTGATCCCGCCCTCCTTCTCAGCCAAGCCAGCCCAGCTCCCTCTGATTGGCCGCAAGCCTTTTGTGGCAGCCTGGAATGCCCCCTTAGACGTCTGCACCAGCCGCTACAACGTGAGCATTGACCTTAAGGTCTTCCACATGCACGGTAGCCCCCGCGCTGTGAGGACGGGCCAGGATGTCACCATCTTCTACGCCAACCGGCTGGGCCACTACCCCTTCTACACGGAGCAGGGCGCCCCCATCAACGGCGGCCTCCCGCAGAACTGCAGCCTGGAGTCCCACCTGCGCAAGGCCAGTCAGGACATCCGCCATTACATCCCTTCCGGAGACTTCCGTGGCCTGGCTGTCATCGACTGGGAGTACTGGCGACCGCAGTGGAGTCGAAACTGGCACCTGAAGGACATCTACCGCAGAAAATCACGGGAGCTGATCCGGGGGACTTACGTCAACGTGACAGAGGCTGAGGTGGAGGAGCTGGCGAGACACGGGTTCGAGGACAGCGCCACAGCCTTCATGAAGGAGACTCTGCGACTGGGCACGCTCACTCGGCCCCTAGGCCTCTGGGGTTTCTACCTCTACCCCGACTGCCACAATTACAACCTGCACGAGCGTAACTACACAGGCTCCTGCCCCCTGCTGGAGAGCATGCGCAACGATAAGCTCCTGTGGCTGTGGAACAGCAGCACGGCGCTATTCCCCTCCGTGGCCATTAGAAGGCGCCACTCGGACAGCTCCGGCAACCTGCACTTCTCCCGGTGCCGGGTGCGTGAGTCTCTGCGTGTCGCTGGCCTCCCCTCCCTGGACTACGAGCTGCCCGTCTTTGTCTACTTGCGCCTGGGCTACCGGGACAAACCTCTGGCCTTCCTCACCATGGTAAAAACCACATCACCAAACTAGCTGCCTCCAGTGAAATGTGAAGAGACAGTTGGCTTTAAAATGACAGGAACAGAACACCACTAGAGGGTAAAAAAAATATAGAGAGCAGCTCATTAAAAAGTCGCACCATCTTTCCAGCAGTTGCCCGGAAATATTCTGGTGTTCATCATAGCCAAGAAAGGTGTTATGCAGAGGGCGCGCTCAAGGGTCATGACTGAGAGCCTATACAGTCCAATAGCACCATCTTGTGGATAAACAATGCAGTTCAACTGAAATGTGGCGCTTCAAGACTAGACAAAATCGTCGTAACGGGCTACATAATTAATATATTAATTAACAACATACTCATAGTGAGGTAACACTGACTTGGAAAACGTCAAAATGACTTCACAAAATACAGCCACTGTATCAAATATATACAGTTATAACGTGTTATAACAAAAAAAAAGTGAGGGAGTAGTTTACAGCAGGGTTTACCAGATCCGGTCTTGGAACATCCTGGAAATTAGTTGATATGTCTCAGCAGGAAAATCCCGGAGGCCCTCCAGGACCGGAATTGGGGACTGTGGTTTACAGTCAGACACAGTGCTGCTATGTTGATTTTTATACAAGTCAAATTTAAAAATACCCGCGCAAAATTTGTAAAATCCAAACTGAAAATATGCAAGAATCAATATCTTATTAAAGGAACCATATACATTCATAAAACAAAAACAGAAATCAGTAAATTATCTACATTGAACAAAAGAGGGAAGTAGAGCCCATCATGTTAAATATTCATTTTTAAACTTCGCTTTAGTTGTTTCGTGTTAGAAGGTCAACATTTAAAGTAAAAATAAGAAGACCCCTTATATGTATTTGCTTACCAGCAAAACAGCAGTTTAGGTACCACTCTGCATTCTTTCCAGAAAGATCTGATCCACACTATTGGCGAGAGCGCTGCCCTGGGGGCGGCCGGCTTCGTGATCTGGGGTGACCTCAAGATGACATCCTCCAGAGTGAGTGTCCCTCAGCTCAACATGGATAAATACAGACCCGGTGTTTTGACATTTTAGCGTACCTATCAGAATAGCATATTCTCGGTTAGATTGCATGCGTAGAATAGAGTTACGCAATGTTCTCCGTCACTTACGTAATGTTCTCCGCTCTTTTTACGTGTGGTTGCCCCTTCATCGCAATATCTTGTGCCTGCGATATCAGTTTCCCCATCTTCATGTGCCAGTAGTGTGTTCATCATTATATCAGATCGTTATAATTAAAAGTTACTCTGAAATATAAAATATTAATTTTATGGGTCATTACAGACCCCCATGTTATAATCTTCTATTACAGTAATCTATGTGCTACATTTTTTAAGTAGATGTTTTTGCTGAACTTTAATTGTTCCGTATAATTACCGTTTCTCCGTAATCACCCTTCTAGCGCAGCTGCCTGAAGGTGAAGTCTTTCGTGCACCGCCAGCTGGGCCGCTACATCGCCAACGTGACGCGGGCGGCGGAGCTGTGCAGCCGCCTCCTGTGCGGGAGCAGCGGCCGCTGCGCACGGAGAGACCCGGAGGCGCCGCACTACCTTCACCTCAGCGGTGCCTCCTACCGCATCGCGCCCGTCGCGGACGGAGGCTTCGCCGTCACGGGCGTGCATTCGCCGGCCGAGATCAGGCTGCTCGCCGAGCGCTTCCGCTGCCGCTGCTACCGGGGATACGGCGGGGACCGGTGCGACCGGCGCCGGACCTCGGGAGCGACGGCTGCCAGGGCTTCGGCTGCGCTCGTCATGCTCCTCGCTGCCTGCGCCTTGCGCAATGCAGGCTGTCCCATCTTTAACATATTCCGGCACGATTGCCAGGGCATACTTTTTAAAAAGAAGAGTTTGTTTTTAGTCTGAAATATTAAAAGTACTCAACGGATGGCAGATTGTTGTTCAAAAAGAACATGTAGGCCTGCCTGGGGTTTTACAAAATTTAGATATGTTAATTTTCTGTAGTATCAGTACGGAAATTATATATAATTTAGTTTGGTTAATTTCTTATTAAGCACAGCGGGCTGCAAGCACTATACAGCCAAATCTGGAACATTTGTTTTGCAAAGAAAGATTTGCAGGTGATTCAGCACTGCAAACTCCTCACAGATATTTGTTCTGCTGTGTTTGTGTGTAGATTTTGCATATGTAGATGTAGATGTTCTACCTGTGTCACATGGGTTTTTCCCTCGTTGTTCAACATGCAGGTAGACGAACTGGGACCTGTGAGCTCCCCCTAGCGTCGACCGCTGTGTGTGACGTGTGTGTGGTCTATGATGGTCATGCAGCCCATCCAGTGTGTATTCCTGCCTGATGCCCTGTGCTGCCTTGATAGAGTTCAGGATAAACAGTTTGAGAATGAATGGGTGGGAGTTGTGGGCTATATCTGTGTGCCCATACTAATGAAGGACCCTGTTAATCAAAGCAGATTTGGCGTTAGCGTGTAGCATTAGCCTCAGACATCGCAAACTGTCATGATCTCTGAAAACAAGATGGTCATGCTCTCAGTTTCCAGGAGGCAGTAAAATTCAAATGACATTGTCGATTGCCTCGTATGTTTAACTTTCCTCATGTCTCCTTCCTTTCCAGTTCAGTCTAACTGTACAAACATTGTCACCAATGGAAATGAAGCACCCGTCTTCTACAGTTCAGGGAGAGGGTTTGAAATTACCCCAGTTACCAGCACTGGTTTTAAACTGGGTAGCACAGCAATTCATGCAAAGAGCTAGGAATTATGGGCAGGGGAAGGGCTCCTTGCACTTGACTGCACTGCAGGGTGACATCACAGGGTGAAATCACAGTGGAACACCCATGGGTGTCGTCGTTCCACACCTGAACGTCCGCCTGGAGGTGTGGTACTGTACACTAACGTTACGCTGACATTAGGTTACTGACTTGAACATCCATCCTGAAGTTTAGCTCGTTAATGTTATACTGACGTTAAGTCTCCGACCTGAATGTCCATCCAGAGGTGCAGCATGTTAACGCTACGCTGACGTTAGGTTCGGTACGGTAACATTACACTGACGTTAGCTTTACTTCGGCGAGAAGGCTTCCTCTTTACTGTATACATTCAAACTTCCGTGCCAACATTCCTTACTGGCTGACAACTCAGGCCAGGGGATCCTGATTTTACTGTTTTTAACCAACCCCCCCCCCCCCCCCCCCGCCGGGATCCACAGCTGCAGCTTTTTGCACCCCTATGCTATAGTGACTCACGTCAGCTGAGGCTCCCGTCAGGTGAAACAAACGGTGATCGACGCAAGAGTGCATGAGTGCGGAAAGCCTGTCAATCTATCCCAGCCAGGTTGAGAGACAGCAATACAAAGCAGCCTCTGTCATGTTTCCCGTGTAGCTAATGATGACGCTGGCCTGACACATGTGTCTCCTCACAGCATCTCGTTTCCAGCCTCGTCCCATCCCGTTCGGGCCTGTTTTAGCAACATTACCGAGGGTGAACCGGTCGACAAACCACAACATGACACCATGGTGCTTATTCCAGTGCAGCTCCAAGACAAACTTGGCATCATGTCTCCATCATAACAACGCCCAACCCATACCCAAGCCTAAGCAGCGGGGAGTGGGCTGGGGGGGTATGACGGCTGCCACCCAAGCATGGGGGTCAAAAACAGGCTTGTTTCTGGCCACGGCTCATTCAGTTGCTCCTGGCGGCGATGTGAGTCTGCTTGCTCAGGCCGCCTTGCATGGATCGCGACGCTCTCCATCCCCCCGAAACGGCCGAGCGACGCAGCGAGCCGGAGAGATGCTCAGGTACCGTACCCATTATCATCTGTTCTGTCAGTGGATCTCTCGTGCCGATCGAGACCGAGCCGGGACTGACGCAGGCAGAGCCAGTTCTGTCGAACAGCAGCACTGTACTGAGAAACCCTGCTCCTCGTGCTTAATGAACAAGTCTTGTCAGTGGAACGGGAGACCACATGAAGTGCACTTATTATTGTGAAGTGGCATTTAGAGCAGCGGGCGGCGTGTAGCTCAGTGGCTCAGGGTGCCGTGTCTGCAGTTGTATGATCACCACTTCAAATCCCAGAGTTGGCAGAATTATTTCACTGCTGGGTCCCCGAGCAAGACCCTTAACCCTAATTGTTCCAGAGACTGTCTGACACTGCTTTCTCAAAAAAAAGCACATGTTGCTCTGGGTAAAAGTGTCTGCTAAGTAAGTTAATTGTAAATAGAAAAACATTATTGCTGGGAAAACATTCCCTCAAAGCCTCATTACTGTCAATCACTGAGCTTCTCTATGAGTCTCACTGATTCAGGTTCCATTGGCTGAACACATGTTCACGGTCTTGCATTCCTACACAAAAGGGGTAAATATGTCCTACTGCACACCGGCGTGGCGAAGACGTCCTCTGCTGTCGTCCGTCCTCTGTCTGGTGCTTCTGGAGACCCTCGGCGCTGCCCAGCTGCTTCCGCCGGCCGCCGCCCCTCTGTTTGACGGGCAGCCCTTTGTGGCCGCGTGGAATGTCCCCACGGGCGTGTGCCAAAGGCTTGGGGTGGCGCTGGACATGGCGCCCTTCCAGCTCGTGACCACGCCCGCCAAGGTGGTGGGGCAGCCTCTCATGCTGTTCTACAGCGACCGCCTGGGGCTGTACCCACGGGTGGATGCCATCACCCACAGCCTGCTCCACGGGGGAATCCCCCAGAGGGGTGACCTGCGGGCCAGTCTGGCCAAAGCCCGGGCCGACATCGCCCACTACATCACTGCGACCACGGCACCCGGCCTGGCTGTTATCGACTGGGAAGACTGGCGTCCTGTGTGGGAGAGGAACTGGGGCCCCAAAAGCATTTATCGCTCGCTGTCAGTCAGCCATGCTCGCCAGAGGTACCCCTTCCTGTCCCCTGAGCAGACAGTCCGCGTAGCCAGGCGCCACTTCCAGGCCGCGGCCCGGAGCTACATGTGCGCCACCCTGTCTCTGGCCACCAAGCTCCGGCCAAATTACCAGTGGGGATACTACCTGTATCCTAACTGCTACAACTACGGCTGGGAAGAGGCGGGCTACACGGGACGCTGCCCCCCAGAGGTGGTGCAGCAGAATGACGACCTTGGGTGGCTATGGCAGAGCAGCACGGCGCTATTCCCTTCTGTTTACCTCACTGCCTCGCTGGGCGGGGGGAGCCACACGGCGCTCTTTGTCCGCCACCGCGTCCAGGAGGCCATGAGGACCGCAGCCTTGGCCCGGCCCGCCGCCGCCCTCCCCGTCTACGTTTACACCCGGCCCGTTTTTGTTGATCAGAACCGGCGCTTCCTCAGCCAGGTGAGTCTTTCAGTCAGTACTTCCACCATAAGCTGCTGCTCAACAATCATACTGAGGCAGTTTGAATCAACTCATTTGTTATACAAATTATGCAGCCCAACCTCCCCTCCCCACCGCCAACAATAAAGGCATTAATGATATCTGTGCCAGCCGTGGACCAGGGGTGCAACTTCTAACATCTGAAATGACCGACGGAATGCCGGCTTCCCGCGGCTGTTTTCGTTTACGCCCGCTCCATGCGCCCCCTGCAGGCGGATCTGGTCAGCTGCATCGGGGAGAGTGCGGCCGCGGGTGCGTCGGGCTCCGTGCTGTGGGGGGCCAGTGCCGACTACAACGACACGGTACTTAAACAGAGAGCGATCGCCGACCCCGCTGTCTCGCTCTGTAGCCTCATGCAGACGGGAAGCTTTGGAGTCGTATTTGGCAACAGCAGTCAGACGCCACATCACTGCTAAAAACAAAAGGCGAAATACAACAAATATATTAGATTAACTGCTTACGATCACACCGCAAGCTTCTCGGCGTTCACACTGTTTATATAGCTTATTTTGTGCACACATTGCTCTTTATTGCTTTGCTACTGTTGCTATACCGATTACACAGCTCTGTCTTTGGCGTTACTTCCTCTGTTTATCTCAACGTTGCCATTAAACAATCTGTTGTCGCTCGCCGCTGATATAAATGTTACTGTTACACATTTCACTGTTTGCTGTTACTCTGTCCATTTATGTTGCCGTTATTACTACACAGGTCACCGTCAATGCTTAGTTTATCCATTGATGTAACTTGTTATTGTCTGAATCGCTGTTTGTTGTTACTATGTTAAAGCGGCTATTATGACTATGTATCGTTACTTTGTTTAAACAGCTGTTATTGCCAGTTTTCTATTACTCCCTCTGTTTACGTTACTGTCATAAGAGTTAGAAAACTTTACTGATTCCAGAGGGAAATTCTAGTGCATACCGCTGCCAGCATGGAGAGCACAGACAGACAGTTATGAAATGCAAAATACATGGGGCAAGAAAGGTCATAAAGTGCAAACAAACAAAACATAACATAGTGCAAAGAAATGAAAAGATGCACAGTACACAAAAGGAACCCCAATAAAAAGCATAATATAAAATATCAATTAAATACATATGGGGGTGGGTATTCAATGAATTAGAAGAGGTTTTTGTTACTAAGCTCACCATTTGGCCTGTGCACTTCGAGCTGTGAAGGTCTCGCCTCCTTCCAGGCCTCCTGTGAAGCGCTCTCCGCGTACCTGTCCTCCACTCTTGGCCCCTACGTCGCCAACGTGACGGCAGCGGCCAGGCTGTGCAGCGCCGTGCTCTGCCAGGGACACGGCCGCTGCCTGCGGAGGCGCCGCGACACTGATGACCACCTGCACCTGAACCCCGCCAGCTTCAGCATCCTCCGGTCCGAGGGGGGGTACCTGGCGGTGGGGAGCCTCACAGCCTCAGATCTTGCCAAACTGGCTGACAAGTTTACATGCCAGTGCTATGCTGGGCGGAGCTGCTCGTCTGAGATATCCCCCGAGCTGCCCCCCAACCCCGTGGTAATTCACGTGTAACCGGGGGCCATTCTAGGATTATTTAAAGTGGGGGTGGGGGCATAATTCGTATATCATGTCCAACCTTATCATTAGTCCCTGTACATAGCTATAGGCCTCGTTTGGGCTCCAACGTAAATGTCAATGCTCTCTGAGATGCTCCTCAATTGCTATAAAAATAGTTTAACTATCTTATAAATAGATTAAACGATAGATAAAACATCACTTTCATGTGTGCTACAAGTACATCAACCTTGATTTTATTTTTCCTTGGGTCTTTTTGTCTTTGACTAAACTTGAAATTAATAACTGGTACATTAAACAATACATTCAGACGCAGATTCAATTGCTTGGAAAAAAAATCCCTTGAATGCCGAACATATTACCATAAGGTGACATTTGATATCCCTAACCCTAACCCTAACCCTAACCCTAACCCTAACTCTTTGATTAATAGCCATTGAATAAATGAATAAATTTCATACCGTGCAATAAGTATAATATAATTTTTTGAATATTAGTTTATTGCCTAAACAGCCCAGCTGAATTTTGCAAGTTTCCCATTTGACTGTTTACACAAAAAATAATGAAGCGTTCCGGATTTCTGAGGATTTCCCAGCATGCACCTGGGAGAGGCCTTCCTCCAGAGGGGCTGTACGTGCACATACACACCCCCAGGACGTCCCGGGAACTTCTCTCTGGTCAGACAGCCCATCAAACCTGAATCTCATTTTTCTTTGATTTTTACTTTGGATTAAAACTAAACCATCCAAACCTAAAGATACCAGAAATATATTTTAGGGCTGGTTATCACATATTGTCCTTAATGTTTTGACTGGATGGTATAGACACATTCAGTGGCCACTGCATTAGGTGCGTCTAGCCAGTATCAGTTAGGACTCTGTTCTGCCTCCAGATCCTCTATGGGGACTGATGAGTTGAATGTTCAGAGAAGCCTTTCTGCGCATCACGGCTGCACTGAGCTTACGGCCTTCCTGTTGTGTTTGGGGCTATAGAAACGCAATAGACCGGATGTTTGTTTGTTTTTTGTTCATCACACTAGTGTCTGTAAACTCCAGACAGAATAGTGTGTAAGAATCCCAAGAAGGCAGCTGTTTCTGAGACGCTGGAGCCGCCCTGTCTGGCATCAGCAATCGCATCATGTTCAGAATCATTAGCACAGGGATCCCGGCTCTGTGTGGGCATGTTATCTCTGCCTGCTGTATGTATTCAGTTGCAGCCACATGATTTGCTGTTTACGGGAGCAGGCTGCATACTTCCATCAGCAGGTGTGCCTATTAAACTGACCACTGAGAGTGTATATAAAACACAGATCATTATCTGTTTCCTAGATTAGAATAAAAATATTTCTATAATGGAACTTTCCCAGATGTGAGCAGGTCAGGCTAATGCAAGTGCTTCATCAGTGTTAATCTGATGCGGTTTGGACTGTACTGCTTCGGATCCTTCCCGTTTAAAGCACATCCTGCTTGTTATCTTGGCACCTCTTCCATTTTCCGTTTTTTTTTATCTTAGACAATTTAGTCAGTTCCAGGTGTTCTGGACAAAGTTGTTTATACATATATAGACACACAGACCCAAATCCATTAAAATACTCCCTTCCTCTCCGGATCTGATCCTCGGTATTTTCTCAGGGTCCTGACAGCTATCCCAGGATGCACTGGTCTCAAGACAGAGGAACAGCTCAGGCACGGGGAAAACATGCAATCTCCACACACAGAACAGAGGTGCGATCAGACCCTTGGCGTGACACAGGGGTGTGAGCCACAGCATCACCCTGACACCACGTCATGGTGTCATTTATTGCACAGTTGGTACTATTCATGCTTTCTGTATTAACCAATATGGCAGAAAGAACTGACATAACAATCCCTTCTGTTAACTACCATAGGAACTGTAACAGGCAGTCATGCAAAACAAAGAATGTTTGGTGATGCCGATGAACACACAGGACCTCATAGAGCTCCTGGGAGGAGGCTGCACACACACAGACACACACACACACACACACACAGACGTGGTGGCTAATCTGGAACAGGTGACGGCAATGTTCAGCCATGATGCAACAATGACGACCATAACCCCTACCCAGCCATAACCTTAACCATAAGCAACCAAACAAAATACAAGACTTTGGCATTTTTAGTTTTCTGATTGCAGTCACAGATTTTTATAAAACTGAGTTTCACCTTGTGGGGACAGAAAAATGGTCCCCACAAAGACAAAATAATAGGTTTTTATCACATTTTGGGGACATTTTGTAATCACAGTGTAATGTATACATGACCTCACACACACATAGTACAGCCCAGCTGTACAGGAGAGAATGTGGGAGATTATAAAAAATACATATAAAACAACATATAATGAAAACCATATGATCCATGTTTAAGTATACAGTATGGCATGTTCATGGGTCATATAAAAGACGTTTCGTATATAATTTATTTTCTAAACCACTGGAATCTGTCTTACTCACACACTCCCCTAGGCTTGTTGTTATAAAAAGCACAATTTTGAGCATTTTACAGTCTCTCAACTATACATCAACGGCATCAGGAATATACAGGAATTCTAACCCAAAATAAATATGGCTGAAAAACTGAGATCCAACCAGAATTTATTCTGATCTTCAAAATAAAACAGAAATTTCTTTGTCCATGTTTCTATGCAGTATTTGGATAGGAAATGGCATTAAATCCATCTAAAAGCATTGGGGTATGGTGCTACCCCAAGCAGCACTAATGGAACAGCCCACCTAGTCAGGTATTGGTCAAATCGGCTGCTTATCAACCTGCTCCCTGGGGAGCCCCCTTCCAGAAACTAGGAGGTAGCAAAGGTGTGGGCAGTCAGGCAGGGAGATGGAAAGGAGCAAAAACACGGACCGGCTGGAAGTCCCCGTGGACCGGGCTTAGAGACAATCTTTAATTACGTCCCATAAATCCCTGTCCTCATCTCAGTATTAAAACATCAGTAGGCCTGTGAGGACACAGGAACAGATTGACAGTGACTGTGGGGGAAAGTCAAGCCTAAAAATAACAGTATAATATGGAGACAAAGGCTGCATTGGTTAGTGTAAACAAAGAATGACTGAGAGCATTGCTGTCAGACGGCGTCCAGCAAGAAACTGACTGGAAATGTGCAGGAAGCAAAATTATTTCACACCTCAAAGGGCCTCTGGCGGTTTAATTACGACTTACACCAGCAGCTAAGGAACAGACTGCACGCATTTCAGCTGTTACTTCAATGTCTGTTTAAGAGTCGCGGCTGCAGACAAAGTGTCGGCCTTTAATGACCGCTAGGACGCCGTCCAAAGAGGTTACCTAATTTCCGGGATTACAAATCATGGCACCAAGCAGGACAAATACTCAGGGACTGCAATTGTGTTTACGGCGATAGGGAAACGTTTTCTTCCCTAATAAGGAAAAGGGGCCCACACCCCTTAAATAGCAACTGGCTCTGTTCTGTGCTGCCATGGCTAGGGCGTGCACCGGTTACCTTAGCAACAATCCACTGGAACATTCCGGAAGTAGCTTCATGATACCAGTGATGACTCCATTTCCTGGATGGGCTGGCTCTCTCTTCTGAAAAGCTGGGTCCATAGATCAATCTGTTAATCTTTTACCATGCTCACACAGTACAATGTAGACATGCATGATTAATGAAAGAGGCCAGGGAATTACAAGGACACACTAGGAGATATGGGCCTGTTTTTTTCCAGACAAGTTTATTGCCTGCAAATCAAGGCCTGAGGAAAAAAATACATTATCAAACTGATTGACATCATTCCATAATAAAATACATTTAGAGCACCAAGCAATACCCCGAATTATGGTACAAAGATTAAACCATGCCCAAAGAGATAAAACAGTGCAAGATACTGCTTAGATCTGTTAAAAAAAAAGTATTACAATTGTTTAATAAAACAACGGATCGTTGGGTTTTTGCTTCGATCCTCTGCAGAAAAAGCAAACCCTGTATTGAAAACTACTAACATCACAGTGTAAGGTTTTATGAAATATCTTTTAGTTTGGTCCACCCTAAGTCTCAAAACTCCATCAGGATCAGGCAATTGGATAGTAGGAATCAGAGACGCGTGACTTTACACCAAGAAAAATCCCGTTTATAAAACTAATATCAATGCGGTGAATTCTGCCCTTTCCACGCGGCAGACACAAAGGACGGTCCCTGGCACGGCTCCATGCTGCCCTGTGCCCCGGGAACCGGCGCCAGCGAGCGGCGCGACCACCTCCGCAAGGTCTGTCCGTCATGCGTATCGTCTCCATATTATTATTATCCATGTTATTAACGCACATTGCGTTTCTTTCAGAAAAGCGGTGGATAGCAAGGGCTTCACCTCCAGCCTGTTTTTTTTTTTTTTTTTGTAGCTGCATGAAAAGAAAAACGAAATTTGGCACCAAATGTGTTTATTTTGCTACATATGGTTACGACACTGGGGGATATTTATATATAGCTACAAGACGCCTATGGATCTTTGACATAGGAACTGGAAAATGCTACCGCGATCTACCGTTTGAGGTCTATCACATAGGTCCAAGACTCGTGCAGTGTGTCCGAAATTACAGCATATCAAGGGTCTAAAATGGAAAATTCAATTTTCTGAATCATCAATTTAAAAAGTACCGCCGGGCTGTATGATACGAAGTCTGAAGATTAAAATTATTAAAAGACACACCGTAAACGTGTTTTAAAGCTGTGTTTACAGCTACATTGGTTTCTCTGGAGAAATACACGTTTTAAGTTACGCGTCTTTATATATGCCGTTGCAGTTGTGTGAGTAAATGAGCACCGCGGCGCGTTATGAAGGGCGTTCAATGGGTTATATTATTACAGCATCACTTAATACGCTACATCATGTGAGGATTTCTCCTTTACACCGGTCCCTGCGGGCGTCCCCTCTTTGGCACACAGCACCACACGCATCAAGACGTTAGACAGAACGTCCTGGTAGAGACTGAGGAAGATCCACCCGGGCAGGTAGAGTAAGGTGATGAGCCCCATGAAGTTGAGCGGGTAGTGCGTGTAGTCCCAGGAGCAGGCGCCGTAGTGGCGCAGCGCCAGCCCCCAGCACAGCTCCCAGGAGTAGATGACGAAGACGTAGACGGGGAGCCTCCTCCCGGCGCTCCACCCGCGCTCCAGGTGCAGGTGCACGTAAAGCTTCTCCACCACCACGCCGCAGCTGCCGTAGATCAGAAAGGACCACAGGGACGTGTAGCCGCCCTGGCTCCGCTCCGGTCTCTCCATCACGTTGCACATGGAGGTGAACAGCACCTCATCCAGAAAGCCGTGCATGCCGAAGAAGGCGAACCGCACGGCGCCGGGCAACCCCTGGTCAGAGTCCCGCTTCTCTGTCAGCGCACCATCCCCGGGGGGGTGGTACTGGAGGCGCGTGATCGTCCTGTAAAATACCTTAGAATAATATAGTGCAATGATGTACTGAATAGCAATTTGCGTCGCCGACAAGCTACCCGTATGGGCGGTCGGATTCCCTATTAAAATCTGCAGCCCGATGTACACCGAGGGGTAGAAGATACAGTGGAAGACGAGAGGGCTTCTCCGAAAGCTGCTTTTCTGCGCATATACTTTCTCCAGCGCGAAATGCGTTATCGAGTGAACGACACAGAAGTAAGGCGAGGAGAAGCCCAGCAGTCTGAAGTCATTGTCCTCCAGGAAAGTGCGCGCCGATGACAGGATGACGTCCAGCGTGACTCCGTGCATACCGTAAAAATACAACCGCATCCATGGTGGCAGCGCTCCTACGGGCTCCCTTACGCCTCCAGTCCCGCCGCACGGTGCCGGCTCCCGGTTCCCATCCGGTTCCGCACCGTCGGCTAACCGCACGGACCGATCGTTTCGTCCATCTCGCCTTCGAGTGGCCATGATCGGTCCAAGAAAAAGGTGAATGAGGTGTCCTCTCCGCTTCGTGCGGTCTACGTGCTGTAGTTTCCTGCCATAGGACGACGCGGGTTGACGGCTCTTACCCGCAGACACGGAACTGGTACGGGGGGAGGGCACACACAACTATAAATTCCTTTGCAATGAAATGCTGTGACAGAATACCTGCTCGAATGTAACATAAGAAGCCATTTGATCCAATTCCCATGCCTGTTCATCATTACGTACAATAAAAGACTATAATTGTTACACAGCTATCCAGTTAGACTCATGATCAAAGCACATATTCACGCAAAGTGATATTCGCGTATTTATTTCAACTATATTTAAAAATTGCCCAACGGTTTTTTTTTTTCCGTCAAAGGCCAATATAATATTTCAATAGACATAGGCTGCTTAACAAGGTTAATGCAATTTCATCGTGCAGATACGCGGTTTTACTTAACCTACATTTTAAATCCATTCAATTTTACTGTCTCATTAATTAAAATATTAAAGATGTTTGAATGATGTTTGAAGCACTTTGCTACATCTGTTTATCAATGCACACTGCTAATATTCTTGAATCCTGTACATAACAGATAATAAACTCCATACTTATGTTAATGATATGCCTGCTAGTATACATATTGAACACCATGTAGTCACTTCAGGCACAACTTCTCTTCTGCCGGGTAACTAAGCGGTTAACCTCACTGCGTGTGGAAAAAAGTCATTTCCTTTTCAGAAAAAGGCAAACAACAGCGCACAGTTTGAGCGATTCAACCCCCTCGCGGCGAGGACGAGATCGACCGTCTTCATGCATATCCCCATGAATTTTCCCTATTCATCCACAACGGATTAATCACTCCTGTACGCGGTTACCGCTTAAGCAGTGAAACGGCGCTGGTTCTGTTTTTTGAACTGACTGTACTTTCGTTTCCGCTTTGATGGCTGGTATTTCAGTATAGACACACCACACGCATTTTTATCGTGGCCCATGGATTTTAATCATTCATTCCGTAAGACATTTCGGTTTGCTCTCAGATACCAAATGATAATTATGGCTTTCCATCTAAAAGGCCCAAAGCCTAGCATAACAGATTCTTCAGAAAATTACGATTGACAGCTTCACGTGAGCTCAGAGATCCAATTTGCATGTCATGGAAATGTGCAGGTCTCAGGGAAGCACCAGTATGCCATCCATACATACAATTATATTACAGTACATACAAGAGGCTCTGCTCCCCTTTACTGGAGAATGGGCTGCAAAGAAGATGGGTAGATATACAAGAGGTGTCTTACATCAGCATTGTATATCCTGTATACAGGGGGGTGCCCGACATCGAATAGCCTGTACACGGGGGGCTGCTGGACGTCGGTATTGTATATCCTGTATATGGGGTACCCGGCATCGTATAGCCTGTATACAGGGGGGTGTCCGACGTCTGCATTGTATAGCATGTATACGTGGGGGAGGGGTGCCCGACATCGGTATTGTATATCCTGTATACGAGGTGCCCGACATCGGAATTGTATATCCTGTATACGAGGTGCCCGACATCGGAATTGTATAGCCTGTATACGGGGTGCCCGACATCGGTATTATATAGGCTATTGAGGAGCTCAAAGTAGAGCTGGTACTCCTCCATATTGAAAGGAGCCAGTTGAGGTGGTTCGGGCATGTAACTAGGATGCCCCCTGGACGGCTCCCTGGAGAGGTGTTTCAGACATGTCCACCCGGGGGAGACCCAGGACACCCTGGAGAGATTGTATCTCTGGGCTGGCCTGGGAAGGCCTTGGGATTCCCCCGGCCGAGCCAGAGGAGGGAGGTGGTGAGAGGGAGGTCTGGGCATCCCTGCTTAGACTGCTGCCCCCAAGAGCTGGATAAGCAGCAGAAAATGAATTAATTAACAAAAATCTGAACACCAAAGGAAAACACGAAATAAAAGGGATCAGAATTCTTTTTTTTTTTTTTTAAAAAAAAACAAACAAACATACAAAAGGAACCCTGCAACACCGGGAACAGAAGTAAGAGTAACAACAGCATAACACCCAGCAACAAAGCACAATGACTCACTAAGGAATAAAACAAAGGAAAGCACTTAAATACACTGATAACTGGACTAATGAGGATGGGCAGGTGCGGAACATAAAACAATCAACCAATCACAGAAGGTGCAGGACAATGAGCAACAGATGCAACAATTAAACAACAACACTAACAAAGCACAAACCGGGAATATAATACTGGGATAAGTAAGAAGGAACAAAAATACAAACAGGGCAAACCTATGACAAAGAATCAAGTAGAAAATAATAAACACTGGGGAACCATCCATTTTCCAAACTGCTTATCCTTCTGGGTTGGGGGGGGGTCTGGAGCCTGTCCTGGAAGCTATGGGCATGAGGCAGGGAACAACCCAGGATGGAGGGCTAGCCCATTGCAAGGCACACTCCCACACCCATCACTCACACATGCACACCTACAGGCAATTTAGTAACTCCTATTAGCCTCAGCATGTCTTTGGACTTTGTGGGGGGGGAAACCGGAGTACCCGGAGGAAACCCCACGACGACATGGGGAGAACATGCAAACTCCACACACATGGAACCTAGGCGGAGACTCAAACCCAGGTCCCAGAGGTGTGAACAACAGTGCTAACCACTGCACAACCATGCCGCCCCCCCCTGTGGAACCAATAAAACCAAAATAATAGGTAAGGTTGGCTTCTGTTAAGCTTCCAACCCGTAAGCAGAGAGTTAAGAGTTTCTGGGCTACACACTCAATCCGCTGAGCTATGCAGCAATTTAGAAAACAACGAAAACACACTAGGGCTGACGTGCTAAAAGACAGTGAGGGGGGAAGAAGATGGCCAGCACCACCTGCTGGCCAAACGGGGACATAGCACATAGGAGGAGCGGCGACCATGACAGGAGTGACCCTTTTACTGAAAAATATGATACAGCAAAAAGCCTGAAAAACAGGGCAGTGTGTTCATCCAAACTGGGCAGTCGGGTCACCAGTTTCTGATGAATTCACTAGATACACCTGGTCTGGCTTCTGGAGCTGTACCAAGCTGCAGAATTCAGTTCCAATAAATTAATCAAGACCAGAGTCAGACACAATAAATTAAGGCTGGAGGTAAAGTCTGGCCTATATGGTAAATGTCAAATTGCTTACTGCAGTTGCTGCTGGGTCTTCATATGGGTTGGGTGTCCGAAACATGAACATGAATATATTAAAGCATTATTCTATTTCAGAGCGTAAACTCATGGGCTCAAAATAGTTCTTGCACACACCTTTCCTAGGCTGTCATGGGAGAACGGGCTCTCGGTTTTCAATAACGAATCCGATACTCGGGGGAAAACAAATAAGCAAATAACCGAAATGAAATGAACGCATAATATCATGTCCTTCATCAAACGAACCGCTATCTAATATGGAAAATAAGTTACAGAACTAGAAAGGACAGTTTGTGAAAAAGCTTGGTGTTGGTTTCTCAATACCAGCTGAAGTCTTGAGAAATAAATGTGTTTTCAGCAGTGTGAGCTTCAATGAGAGCTGCCATTTTAGCTGTGATTAGGACCCAGCAGAAGGGCAGCTGTTTATAACATCATAGGAGGGCAGGGGGTAGAGGGCAGGGGGTAGAGGGCAGGGGGTAGCTGTACAAGCAACACTGTAACATACCATGTCTTATTTTTTCGTTTCCTCGTTTATGACACCTTCAATGCAAAAAAAATATTTTGGGTTAAAAATATAGTCCAGATACGCGTTGCCAGTCGCCCTGTGGGTGACATAGGCGAATCCTTAGGGCACCCCTGCACTTAGGGGGCACAATGTCCATGGCTGCATTCTGTGACATTACAGTTATTTATGCTGGTTTTAATATTTCACCAAATTTCTTGTGAAACAGATGCAAACTAACAGCCAGACACCCTGTGTCTGTGGGGGGTGGGCTAGGGGGGCTTCAGCGCAACCAATCCAGTTTAGGGTAGGATGGGTAACTAGCTGTTCATTTAATTTAGATGTGAACAGCATCAATGACAGTAATAGACTGTGAGTAAATGTCAGCTCATTTTGAATGATGTAATTTAGAAATGAACACATTGTATGTCACAGAAAAATTAAGCCTGTATTGCAAATTAAAGACAGAACTTTTTCCCCTCAAAGAATTTGAACCGAAACGTAAAAATGCATTGCACATCATTACACATCACCTGCGTGTAAAGGAGAAAGGAAAAACTTCAGAAAAAATACACTTGCCTTAATTATTTGACCCTCGTGAATGCTGCATACGGAGTCCACCAGGGGGAGGCAAAGAGCTCAGGGCAAGCCGGGTCGACATGTCTGTGCACAGATCCGCTTAAAATACACCACAGCCCGTGATCTAACAAGCTTTCACGGAAAAGCCGCTTACCCTTATCCTGCAAATTCCAATCACATTGATTTTTTTAAAAAGTCATCGACTGCTTTCTGTCGAACAGGTACTACAATGGCTGGTCTCACACCGGAGAGACATACCAGGGTCATGGACATTCTGCAGAACACCCAGCTCTATAACAAGGACTAACTAATCCATCGCCTTGGTCAATCGTATAGAACAGTGGTTCCCAACCTTTTTTAACTCACGGCCCACACAGCCAAACACATATGTTTCCGCGGCCCACTGCAAAAGAATTTAAACGACCCCGCTTTTTGTGTCGGGTTAACTAAGTACTCGGAAGCAAGGCTGTTAATTGTCTTTATTGAATAAACTGGTAATTTATTTAATTATATATCAAATTATGATTTATTTGATTTTGACTAGACATTTTTTATTATATTAACAATATTACAATTTCTATTAATAATAATTGGCGGCCCCCCTGCAATACCGTCGCGGCCCACTAGGGGGCCGCGGCCCACAGGTTGAAAACCACTGGTATAGAAAGACCATATGATAAACCACGTGCCATTGATTTTAACCAGTAAAAGAGAAAACCAGTTATTCATTTAGGCCTGCTGGATTTGCTCAGGACACACCCAGAGAAACGGCCTAGAGGCAGAAAGGGAGCAACGACACAGAACTGGGCCCGATCCAGATCACCTTTACAGAAAGAACCAGTAAAAGGAAGTACTGTGTGTGTGTGATGCACCAGTAATGCCTGAGAATATCAAAATAAAGCTGTTTGACTATTTTGTTTCCCATAGCTCATTCCGCGTAGTCAGGTAAGATGTCTTGTTAAACATGCAGACCATTAATCAACCTCTTGATGAGAATCTAATGAGGTATTGACAGGCACAATCATTTTGGCCAAATATTTCCCGGTAGACCCTCTCTCGCGTGCTTGAGCACAGTCAATCAATGTATAACGTG